TTGCAGAAAGAGTTGGAAAAATTCAGCTCATTTAGTTCTCTCTAAATCTTTTTTCTAAGACAATAAAAATTTTAAGCAATAAAAAACGATTCTTATCACACGAATTATTCTTGACAAAAAAATTAAATATAAAAGGCCAAGCTACTTCCCAACTTCTTGCAATACTGAAATGGTCAACGGTCACGTACGGAAAGAGTGGGAAAAATGACTTAGGTTGTGTTCACACTTGGTGCCTTGACACCGTCCCAAAATAGTGTTGCATCCAGACCCTGGGTACTCTAAAGACCCAAGTACTATCTAGTGCCCGAGCACAAGGTCGAAACTTTGTACCCGGGTACATGCATTGTGCACGAATTGTGGTATAAACATGCCCTTAAAAAAAAAGGTGTGTTCACATCAGCGTTCAGCGAGAATTGTACTCGGGCACCCTTCTTAGACACCAAGTGTGAACATAGCCTTACTTTTTGATTTAACAACGAGAACATGCAAGTTGCTACTACGTCCTTCACTTGTGTTGTAAATAAATTGGATACTCGTTAAAACATTCTTCTTGCTGATCTCAGCTGTAGAATTGCTAAATATTTGAGAAGCAAGGGGACAATAGCTCCATTTTTAATTGACCAACAAGGACCGCCAAAATTGCGGCTAATCAAGGAAAAAAAGAACAAAAATTGTGGCACTAATAGCTAATTTTTGAAGAAAATTCTGATGTTAAATAAAAATTTGTAAAGAGAGGCAATTTTTGTTTGACAGCAAGGACCTGCAAGCTGCAAATAGCCACTTTTGTTGAAAATTACCTTATGGAATGTGTGTTTATGCTACTATAGTTCTAACTGGTTAACAAAGTCACTGCAAATACAGCTTCTATCATGTTGTAAAATGCTTTTAGATCGGAATAATCAGTGAATTCCAAGTTGTAAACTCGTCGGCCTGTTATGACGGACGCAACTTGTCCCAGGTTCCCACTTTGATGAGCTCCAACTCTTCGCTTGCGCCAGGCATGCTTCTGGGCACTGGAGACCAGTCGTCCTGGCTGCACCATGCGGAGGCCTGAAAGAAAAGATTCTTGTGAGAAATGCTTTCTAAAATGAGTAACTTATTAATATAAAAAAATCTAAGGGTGATCTGTTTGAGAACAGCACACGCATAGAAAAGGCGGTTTTGCACATTGTTATGTGAACACGATTTGGTGGTATGTTTAGATTTTGTGAGGTCTATTTTACTAACGAATAACAACACCTGGAAGTTATTGTCTGGAAAGCCTAGAGAATTGAAAGTTTCGATTCCCAGCGATTATTCGTGTTTGCATCAAGCTATGTGAACATGCGCTGGTTTCTATTTCTTCAAATAAAGTTCGAGCGAAGCGAAAGGTACTGAGAGAAACGAATCCTGAAAAATTCGAAATTCTGCAGTCAACAAAATTTCGTCAAATTTTATAATAAAGCATTACTACGAGTACATAACAGCTTTAGTCGTTTTGTTACCTTCCAGGTCAATTATCTTTTTGGTTTTCTCGCTTTCGTCCGTTGCTCCTTCCTCGATTCTTGACCTCAACTCAAGTTTGTGAGCATCCTCGGTGAAGAAAAGTTCTCCAAAGTGTGGATATTTGTTGCCTAAAATGGAAAAAGGTCGAAGATTATGAGAAATAACCGTAGACCAATAAATTATCAAAGACGGGTCGGGTCTTCTCGGATCTTCTGGAATAATCGTACGTAAAGACTATTCTCTCGATTCAAGAATTCCTTTTTGAAAAACGGCATTGAAATATAAAGAGGGCATTTCTTTAAACAAAGGCGCTCCTAGTCTCCTTCGCAGCTTGGGTTGTCGTGCAAAGAGCATCGCCTGACGATCCAAATTATGCCTGTGAAGTATACTAAATGTTGCAAAAAAA